AGTAGATGGGTGGTGGGAAGGAGGAGAGGGTAATGAATAAATACGCTGCAGTTCATGCTTTGCTAAAGGGTTTTATTGCAAGTTTGTGATAAAGGATTTCGAAAAAATGGGGTTGTATCTGGATTTTGTTTTTAAGAAAAGAAGCTTTAGAAATTACTTTATTAAAATTATACTGGGGAGAAAAGATAACCAAGTAAGTTTTTCAACAGAATGTTATCAGAATATATTAAGCTCTTATATGTGTTTAATATACTAGACCTTTGAGAGAAGCTTAGTGGGCATATGGGAAATCTTTCACAACTAATATGCTTTTATAATATCATTGATTTTCATTCTAAATATCATTTGTTTATTTTAAAAATACTATATATGTTGGGCACTTGCTATGTACTGAGGCCCATGCTGGATGCTTATCTTAGAGTTTATGGAATTATTGGACAATATTTCAGAAGTTATTTGCAGTAACTAAAATATAGTGTCAAAAGTCCATAACAAAAAGGTATTCAACTCACTAGCCCTTAAAAATTATCTTCTTTTTAAAAAAAAAACTCACTGAATAGTGTGTGTTCCGTCAGAAAATACTCGTTTTGAAAGGATTGCTTCCCTTGCCTTTAAATCACACCAGCGCACCATTAGAAATCACTAGCGTCCTCAGGGGAGAAATTTGAGTTTCTGGCCATACCCCTCCCTGAGTTAAGGACGGCTTATCTATTTCTCCCGAATCATTCTGGTTTTAGTCCCGATTCTGTTGAGGTAACATACCATCTCCTGCCTCCATAATCCAGCCGAGACCTCACACCTATGGGAAGGAGAACCCATGAATGTTTTGTCTCCTTAAGAGTTGGCATAAATGGTAAAATTTCTAACTTGAGACCTGCAACCCCAAAGAGGCTCCTGGTCATTGATAATCCCCTGTTTTCCCATTGATGCTGAGGCCCAGAATTGCCTCAGGGTTCAGCTCCAGCTCAGGCCATCCCACCCTAACCCACCACCTTCCTACCCACCTGACAATGGTTCAGCAGTGGTGCAGAGTGAAGGAGAACCACTGGAAATGTCTAATCCTGACTCCACAACTTCCTAGCTGTGTGGCCCTGGGCTACTCACTCAACCTCTCTGAGGCCCAGGTTCCACGTCGTAAAATGGGGAGGGGTAGTGCCAGATAGGATGGTTGCAGGGCTTCAGCGAACAGTTTTCCAGGGTCTAGCACAGTTAGTGTGCCATACATGGAACTCTGGTTACTGTCATCTTGAAATAAGTCTGGAGAACTCTATCCAACGCCTTCAGCAGTCCCCACCCCCAGACAGACCAGCCTTCACCACGCGCCTGACCTTGGCCGCTCTTCCTTCCACAGAGTCCCTTAGGCAGGAGCTGCGGGAGCAGCGGGCCGCCTGCTCTGAGCACCAGAAGGACTTGGAGGCACTGCAGGCTGAGCTGCAGGCCCTGGGCAGTGCTGACAGGAGGCAGGCCATGGCCCAGTGTGCAGGGGACAGCGAGGACCACACTGACACCACAGAGGTCAGCCCCCTGACCCACCCGCCCACACCCCTCTCCAAGTAGTGAGGGCTACCGCAGACTCTTAAAGAAGAGGTCCTTGGTTCTTGATTCCCTTGTCTGGAATGGGAAAGACCCTTCTCCCCCTCGAGGATACCTGGCCAGCCTGCAGGCTTCCCTCTTTGTAAAGCAAAACACAGGTTTTATTACGTTCTGCATGTTATTTTTAATTCAAACACATCTGCCTCTCAGATTGTTGGTACCAGGCAGGGCTTAGAGGCAGCCAGTCAGGGTCACTTCAGATCTTCAGGAGAATGTCTCTAAGCTCCTCTCCCTGTCCAGACCTCCCTGTTCCCATGAGTGGGAGCAGCCTTGTCACCCCAGCTCACTGCCCACTCTCCGTGAACTTCCTGGCCAGACATGGCCCATTGGCTCCTTCCTTGCACATCCGTAATTCCTACCCAGCTGGGGAGCACAGTGACCTCCTAGGAGCCCAGACCTCTCTCCCCCATCCGCCGTCTGCCTCTGGTATTCATCTAAAGTGCATCTGTATGTAGCCGTCTGTGGCTCCCGGCTGCTGTTGAGGCTGGAGGCTAGGTGGAGCACATCTGAGGCTCTTTGAACCTTTTGAGCCTCCTGAAGACATCTCTCCTGGCTACCTTCTTCCCAGGACGGGGACGGCCTAGTCCTGGCGGGCTCCCCAAAGGGCGCCACTGAGCAGACTCCAAATGAGGGGTGCCTCTTCTGGGAGAACTCGCAGCTCAAGGACACGGTGAGGCAGCTGCGGGCAGAGGTGGAACAGCACCAGCAGGAGGCGCTGCAGCTCCGTGACCAGCGCAGGTCAGTCTGCAGGCCCCAGAGCTTCCCTCCCTTCCCTCCCTCCACTGCTGCTTGCCTCGGAGATTTAAATTGGGTCACCCCACTGCACCTTTCCAAAGAAAAGACTCCCTAATCCACTAGCACTTCTCTGATGTTACTCCCTGGACACACGAAAAGTATCTAGGAATTCTAGGTCAAAACTGCAGAGGACTGGCCCTGAAATAGAGGTGGGAGCCCAATTATTCTACAAATCAGGGAATGTATGGAATCAGACCAAATGATACCAAAAGTATCTCAAAACCAGCCTTAGGGAGACAGTGCTGTGTGCCCTTAACTAGCTGTGTGAGCTGGGGCAAGTCAGCTAACCTCTCCAACACTGTCCTCATCTGTGAAATGGAGATGGCACTGCCCCCTCTCAGGGCTGCAGTGCTGTAGACCCCAGGGAAATGTATGTGAGAGGCTCAGCAGCGCCCCTGGCATGGGGGAAGCCCGGGGTAAACTGTGGTGTTACTATTACCTGATCCAGGTAGGACAGCTTGTTATCAGTCCTGAATTCACAGCCTTTCCCCCCACTTCCTGGAAAGTTCGTAACTACAATTTAAATTTCATTAATAGCTACCTGACTTTTCAGGCTGTTTCTTCTCGGGTGAGCTTTGGTAGTTTGTATCTTCCGAGGACTTTGTCCATTTTATTATCTCAGCTCCAGTGAAAGTAGTTGTGTGAGTGAAAGGCACAGCTAAGAAACAGCCGTGGGACCACTTGGCCAAGGTGAGACGCCTCGATTTCAGTTTGGGACTCACCATGTGACAGTGACTGAGGAGCTGGGACCAGGGTTGGGAGTCCCAACCATTTCTGGTTACAGCCCCTGCAGTTCAGAAAAGCAGTGTTCCCTGTCCTGGGGGAAGGGTATAATCACACCAAAATGTGCACGTAAGGTCCTTTCTGAGGGTGACACACCCTGAGAGGCTTGTCTGTGTCACCCCCACACCGAGGTTAAGAAAAGAGAGCTGACGGTTGAGCACATTCTTTGTGCTATAGACTGTTCTGGACGCATTCTTGCAATAGCCCTGGAAGGTGGCCACTTCTGTCGCCTCCAGATAAAGACACTGAGCTGGGCCTGCTGTCACACGGCTAGGAAAGGATGGAGGAGGCCGCAGGTGGACGCTGCTCTCCTAGCCCCATCGCCCCCTGCCCTTGCACCTGGACTGCTGGCCTCAGGGTCCACCTTTCCGCAGTTCTGATACAGAATCTCCGCATCCAGGCCTCCCGCCCGCCCCGAGTGAAGGGGGTGCTTCCTGGGGCTCCCCTCCAGAGCTGCCTCCATTCCTCCCCCTGCAGGCTGCTCTTCGGGGAGTGCTGGGCTGGGAGGTGCTGAGAAGGGGTCCCCCAAGCAGGGCTTATCCCGGACCCCACAACTCAGGTGCCCCAGGTCTCCTTCCCGCGGTGTCCTGACCTCAGATTCATAACCTCCCCACCCACTGTCTCCAAACCTGACCACCCAGCAGAGGGGGAGGAACACCCCACGCCCTTGAGATGGGCCCCTGGAGCCGGGTCACCAGCTGTGCTTCGGTCCTGTCCGCAGGCAGCTGGAGGAGGAGCAGCGAGCCCAGCGCGCCCGGGAGGCCGAGGCGCTGCGCCAGGAGCACCGGAAGGAGATGCAGGCGGTGGTGGCCGACTTCAGCAGCGCCCAAGCCCGCCTCCAGGCCCGGCTGGCTGCCCTGGAGGCCGAGTATGTGAGGCCTCGGCCCCAACTTAGGAGGGGCCGGTGGATAGGCCATTTTATGCGGGTGATTAACTCATCCCATGTCCCCAGGACTACCAGTTTTAAAACCAGAAGTCCTTAGTTCTAGGAAGTGCCTCAGTCCCAGAGGAACAGGAATGGTTGGTCACCTGTCACATTACGACACTGCAGTCCCCTTTCGTGCAGGACCCTGGGGATCTGTGAGGAGTGGGACTGCCTCATGGACTTGGTTTGACCCTCACACTGGGGAGAAATCAGAAGGGTCAAGGCTACCTTTCTTATTAGCATTGGCCCTCTTCCGACACACATTATCTCATTTAACCTTCATAGCAGTCCTTCGAGGTGAAATTGTTATTCCTATGGACAGATCCTACCACGGGCCCCTCGTGCATGTAGGCATGCATTCGTGTATTCATTCACAAATATTTATTAGGGCTTACTGTTTTAGACTCTGGATTACCGTAGGGAACAAAACAAAGACTATGTGCTGATAGAACTCACAAATTCTAATGGGGATTCTGACCAAAAAAAAAAGGAAACAAATATTTAACTTCATATAGGTAGTGAAAGTGCTCGAAGAAAAATAGGATCAGTTTCTAGAGAGTGGCAAGGATGGGCAAGGGAGGCCTCTTTAAGGAGGCGACATCTATACACTAGGGGGCGAGGGAATGAGAGAGCCATCTGGAGAAAGAGCATTTCAAGCAGAGAGAACAGCAAGTGCAAAGGCCCTGGGGCCTGCTTCCTAAGCCTGAACAACCAGAAGGCTCATGTGGCTTACGTGGAATGAGCGAGAGGGTGAGTAGTAGAAACTGAGGTTGATGGGGTAACTCGGCGGGATAAAGGAAATTCTACAATGAACCGGAGGAGTTTGGATGTATCCACAGTGCACTGGGAAGCCATTGCAAGTCTCTGAGCAGAAGTGACAGGGTCTGATTTCCTTTTTAACGGGGTCACTCTGGCTGCTAAGAGTCTGGGGGATTGGGGTGAGCATCAGGGAGACCAGGTTCATCAGCACTAAGTGAATTTAAATGTCACCTAACTGATCCTGAGCTTATGCTCTTAAAAACTGTCCTCCACTGTCTCCAATACAAAGCAAATCACCCGAAATCTGGAGTGGAAGCTTTTACCATCTGCCCTCTAATGGGTACTTACCACGTGCCAGGCACCCATTATCTCACTGAATCCTCACAACCACCCCATCCACACCCATTTTAAAGGAGCAACTGAGGCTCGCAGGTGACATGCATACCCAAGGTCATAGCTAGAAAAAAGCAGAGCTGGGATTAGAGCCCAACTCGTCTCACCTCAGAGGCCTAGGCTCTTATCAAATATAGTCAGTAGGCAAGTGCAGTCCTAACCCTCCCTCTCCCCACCACCCGGAGGGCTCTTTCTCCAGCTTCAGGGGTGGGCCCTGGTACTAGCTGCCCTCGCCCCTCTGCCCGGGAACTAACTCATGCCACAGTCTATGCCGGCCAGCAGATGGCGCCAGAGCCACAGCGGTATTAGCAGAGCTTATAGGCGTCGGTGGGGTGCGGGCCTGTCCCTGCTGAGGCCTCTTCTCCCAAACATCCCTGGTTCCTGAAGCCTGACTGAGTGCAGCATCTCTGCACACACAGGCCATTGGTTCCTGGGCCCCTGCAGTCCTGGGGGGGGGACTGACAAAGGTCATACTGGGAGTTGGGGTCCCGGGCTGCACCCGGAGCTCTGCAGCCAACTCCACTGGATGGCCTCCGGCAAGCTCTCTGGGCCTCGGTTTCCCCTTTTGTGAACAGAGAGAGTGGCTGTCCAGGCTGACCACCCAGTGGTGTCCCCACCACGTCATCACCTCTCCTCCCTGCTCGAGGCTGAGTAACTGCAGTGAGGGGCTAACTGCATGTCTGCTCGAAACAGGCTGAAAGACTCCGGAGAGAAGCCGGGAAAGGGGGCGTCCAGGCCGGAGGACGTGCAGCTCATAGGCCGCCTGCAGACCCGCTTGAAGGAGAGGGAGGAGATCATCAAGCAGCTCACGGTGAGGCTGCCAGCCCCCGGTGGGCCCTGCACGGACGCCGCGGAGTTCCTGGGGGGCGGTATTCACCTGCACCCGGCACTTTACTGGGCACCTCAAGTTTTAATCCTGATAACCATAAAACCACCTTACAAAAGATCCTTGGTTATTTTTTCTATAGTACAAAACTCATACTCACTAAAACAGTTAACACGGGAAAGTAGAAGGCAAAAAATCACTCTGCTCCCAAGCCCCATAGCGTCTGCCCATGGCTGGTATTGGTTTGGGTTTTTTTAAACCAACAGAATTTGGAAAGATCTAGAACAGCTCGCCTTATGTTTGAATTTCAGTAGATCCAAGCAAGCCAATTACTCTTCATTGATCTTCCTTTTGTAAAAATGACCACCTGTTTTCCAGTTAGCAAAGCCACCCGCCGGATCCCTAAAGAGAAGAGTTTTCTTGGACTCCCTCTGATTCTGTACCTGGTGTCCCCCAAGGCCTCATGGCCATTTCTTTGAAAGGCCCCTCCCCTCCATCCACCCTGCCCTTTCACTGGCTCCACCCACCTCACACTGGTGCTTGAGGCTCTAACCCAGCCTTGCGGCGCTCCCTGCTATGGCCAGTTCTTCATATGGCCCATTGCACAGCTCCCGATGCCGTACAGTCAGCTCTGGGGACAGGGCGATAGACACTCCTGTCAGTATGGCCCACGGGGCAGAGCTAGTCAGCCCCGCCAGAAGTCCAGGGACTTCCCACCGTCTAACCCCAAAGCTTCTCCCACGCACAGTGGAGAATCTATTGGTCTCCCCCTTACGTAGTCTCGCTCCACTATGCTGACCTCAGAGTAACGAGTGATCTTATGAAAACAGAAGTCCTGTCACAGCACAGCCCTGCGTAGTACCTCCCATGGCTTCCCGTCGTTCTCAGTAAAATCAGCGGCCTGCAGAGCCTCACGTCCTCCCACAGCACACGCGCCTCTCGCGCATCGCGTCCCACTCCCATGCCTGCCCCGCCGCTCCCGGCCACGCTCTTTCATGACGAGACACAGACAGTCAGGAGAACTTTACCACTAGCTGAAAATTACCCGATACTAACGAGGGGCCCTCATCTGCTAAGTGTGACAAAGGCGTGGTGGTTTTATTTTTAAAGAGTCCTTATCTCTTAGAGATACATGTTGGTGGTTTTATAGGTGAAATTGTACAATGACTAGAATTTGGTTTAAAAATAACACAGAAGGAAAGAGAAGAGTGGAGGGTTGGCCATTTAGTGACTGTACCTGGGGGTCTTCTTTCTTTGCCTCAATTACTATCTTTCTGCACCTTAATTATTAACGTTCTGCAGTACTCTTCCCAGATGCTACGAGTACCTGGATCTCTAACTTCCCTCCGGCCCTCCAAACAAGCGTGCCCTTTGCTTTACAGGAGAGGCTGGGGACACAAAGGTCCCAAGAGTAAAGGTGCTTCCTCACAGCTTCCGTGGGTGGCAGCTTGGTTCCCACTGGCGCCCCTGCCTGCCCTGGGCTTTTCTTCTCTGTATTCCCCCCTCACACGGCCACCTTCCGCGGGGTCAAACCCAGTGCTGCGTGGTTAGGCTCATTTAGACTCAGTTGTGTTGTTTCCTAGGAGGAGAGAAGATTTCACTACGCAGCGTTCCCCGGCGCTGTGTCCCATCGGAACCGGTCCTTCTCTTTCAACCCTCACCCCGGGTACTTGACCCCTTCCATGAAGGTAAATGGGCTCTTCTAGTTTGCATTACACAGTCTGCCGGTTTCATTTTTCCTAAGGTGACTGTAGCTCATTTATCAATGGCTGGGATACATTCAGAGGAATACGCATTGAAAATAAGGCCCACAGAAAATAGGCCAAATGAACAGTGTTTATATCTGGCCAGGAAGACAATGTGCATTTTTTATGGGGTTTTTTTCTTTTCCAATTTTTCTATAAATAAATGTGTTGCTATTAACAGTGGCTACAATAATAATTGGTAGGAAGAAGAGAGAGAAGAGCAGGAATCTTCTACTTTTTAACATTTTGTCCTTACATGCTTTCGGAATTTGTTACAGTAAGAACATTCACATTCAAATCTCTCATCTGCTATAGCAAATCCTAAAAGTGCTAAAAAAATTAAAATAAAATTAGTGTTTTTTATAACTCACAGGACAATAAACCTAAGCTGAACTGATGTGTGATCATTGATAATTTTTATATATCCCTCTTAGTGTAACAAAATGTAAGTTTCACTTCAGAAATATTAGTGCATTTGAGGACAGGGTGGGCCCAGCCCTTGCTGCGATGTTATGTGGCTGAGGACAGGGTGGGCCCAGCCCTTGCTGCGATGTTATGTGGCCTTTTAAAATCTAAAAAGAGATTTTTGAATTATTAAACACATCTGTTTCCAGAAATTTTAGATAAGAGATTGTGAACATGTGTGTTTTTTAAAACACAATATAGATCAGAGGGGAAAGTGCTTTAAAAAATAATATGGAAGTCCATAAATAAAAGTATGGCCTCCTTGCTCTGTAGTTTCAGGTGGGTGGCCCCTACTTACTATCACAATAATGCTTCCTTTGGGTGATACTGAGAAGCCTTTCCTTTAATACAAACAGAAAAAGAAGATGGAAGAAGTGCCCAGCCGAGTGGTCAGCGTGCCCAACCTCGCCTCCTATGCAAAGAACTTCCTGAGCGGTGACCTGAGCTCCAGGATCAACGCCCCGCCAATCACAAAGTCACCCAGCTTGGACCCGAGCTCCGGGGGTAGCCGGCCTTACAAACCCACCCAGTCTCTAGATGTGAAAACGGCCACACGGTAGGGGGCAGAGCTGTGATTCCATTTTCCCAAAATAGGAGAAAGACTGGAATTCCAATCTGGCACCTGTTAAATACCTGGCATTGGGGCAGATACAAGGAACGGCAGACCAAGCCCTGCCTTGGAAAAGCAACAGTCCAGCCAAATGGGGAGATTGTGTGCCTTTCTTTAGAAGAGGGACTATTCCTGGTACCAGATTCCAGAATTCTTTTGTTCCTCTGGAGAATTTTTATGAGTGTATCTGAGCCAAACTGACAGCATATGTTGGGGAGCAAGATCTCAAGTGCTCCTCTTTTATTTTTTGTGTGGGGTTTACTTACTAATTTGTGCCTGAAATAAATGTTGCAAATATGCCTTATGGTCTTAAGTGAAACAATGGAGAACCTTCTGTTTTCACAGCAGGAATTAGACATTCTGTGCCCACCCGTCCTTGACAACCGGCTTCCAGATACTAATGTTGGCCAGTGATGTTCCAGTATCTTTGGAAGAGTAAAGAAGCAGTTATCTTACCCTGAAAAGATGGTGGGGTAGTAAGTTGTTTATTGAATAATTTTAAAAACCTCAAAACCACCAAAACCTTTCTGTTTCTATTTGTTTTTAGAACACAAGATGGTGAAACCACCCAACCCAAAGAAGCCCAGCAGAAACAGGGCTCTGCCCACCAGGAATGGTTTACCAAGTATTTTTCTTTCTAAACCGATCCTTGGGATCCATCACAGAGAGGACATTTGAAAAACATTTCTTTTTAAAACATTGGACTGAGGGAATGAACTAAAAAAACCAATCAACCAAATAACTTGCTTTGTAATATGGTTTGCATCCAGTAGCTCAAACGAATTTGGGCATTGACATTTCATACCGTTTCATTGTGGCGCCGGTTCATGAAAAAATCTTGACCTTAGGGTAAAATGAGTCGTGTTATCAGAAAGCATCGTAAATGTTGTTAGTGTTACTGATGACCTACCCGTTGTATCTCGTGTCCATAGACTGCACTCGCCTTGTGGTTTCCGTGGTCTGCTTGTAAAGGGATTTCATTTTCCACGAGGATGTGACTCAATCCACTTGAAAAGTGTTTCTATGTAAGTGATATCATTCAAGATGCACACTAACCTCAGTGAGAAGAGGAATGAAACCAAGATCCAAATAGCCGGGAGAGCCAATTAAAACACAAAACAAGGAAATCAAAACGACCAGGACAGGGCAGTTGCCGACCTTGACACTTGGAGTATTTTGATTTCCTAATCCAGGACATGAAGTAGATGATAGAGGGGATAACACCTACCTCAAAATGGGGCTTTATGAGAATTAAGCAAAATAATATGGGCAATGATTCCAGTTACAAATTGGAATTAAGCGCTGCCAGGACTTCTCTGTGAATAACTGAGCCTTGCCCCGCCGTGCATCTGTTCCAATGACTGCAGTGTCCACTTGGCCACTTGTGAAGGTTTCTAGATTATCTGTTCTTTCAAGTCAAAGATCTACTGAACCTCTGGTCTTTGGGTTTGGGCCATCTGCCTCATGGTGCGCTGCTTCCCCATTGCATGGATGCTTGGTAGATTAAAGGGAAAGGGCAGTGGCCATCCTAGGCGTTGACCTCGCTGTCAGGCCACACTGAACTGTCTGACCCTCTGAAGGAGCAATGCGATTTGACAAGACTCAATACATCTTTTAATGGGCAAAATATGTTCCCAATCCTCTGGTGCTGGCCCAGCTAGGTGGCCCATAAACAATCGTCTATTCTATGCACTGTCAAAGCTTTGCTCTTTGAATAAAACTTTAAACAACTGGGTGATGAAAATGGTTGTGACTTGTATTGATTTGCCAAAGAAGGGTGAAATTAGATGAAGACTGAACTTGGAAATGGGAAGTTCACATTGACCTCGATTGTATCACCTTCAAATAAAAAGTGGCTGCTTTCATACTTAAGTCCTTTAGAGAAATGCAATTATAACTCAGAATTCATCATTTAAAGGTAAATTTACTAGCTAATCAAAACACATGGCCCCAGTAATTTTTAACTGCAAATACTTGTTGCCATACATGTAACATGCAGTATTATTTTTCAGCATCAAGCATTTTGCAGTTGCCCTTTGTTTCTTGCTTAGAGCGAGCATTGTAGGATTATGTCTGTATCTCGTGTTTTACAGATGCACACAGATAGTTCTTCGTTTGCTGAAACATTTTCCCGCCACCCTGCAACCCCTGATGACTAACAAGGTAGGCTTCACTTCACTACACTGCCCCGTAACTCGGTGTAACACCTGCTGCAGGAATGGAATTGTATTCATTGAGACTCTGCATCTGTTTTCACTCCTTTCTTGTTTCAGGTGAGTGAAAGATCTTGTTAAATTTCTAGATTCTACCCAATCGTTACGTATTTGTTAACTAAACCTTCGCATGCTCCTATCATTTTTTCTTTAGGACATATTTCTTGAGCATTACAGTAAAGCTTCATAGGACACATGCTTAAGCTCTTTGTTTGATATGACAAATTACCATCCAGAAGGTATTTCTAACAGTTTTCCAGCTATTTACACCTGGACCAGCAGTGAGAGACATTCTCTCTGTACCCTAGATACTATTAAGAAACTCAACTTGATAAAACCATCTTCTTGGTTTCTATTCCATCAATCTCTCAAGAGCAACGTGATCTAGAGATGGTGGTGATGGTTTGGAGGGAACAGCGGAAACGAAGAAAAATGAACAGCTCCGGACTGAGTTGGGAAGGACAAACAACAGGACTTTATAAGTCTCTAGGTTAGATTATGACAGAAGGAGTAAGAGTTAACACGTCCCTGGAGCAAAACTGGAAAGGAATATTGCTGCAAATTGTTTAAGTGGGGTAGCAAAGAACTCACTGAATCCATGGCTGCAGACGGTGCACGTGAGCCTTTAGTAGCTGTTCTGGCATTGATACAACTCCCAACACAGCAGCTGGATTGAGGCTACTTGGTCTATACTCAATCTCCAGGCTCCATCTGGGTTCTGCAGATTAAATGGCACTATGATAGGGTCTGCCCTCCCCGAAACCTTTAGATTTCCAAGGGTCACACTAACCTCCACCGTCACCACCAGATGCAATACTATTTTTGATCTACTATCTCCTATTAGCGTCTCAGTAGCCTGCTCTCTCCTTGCAGGAGATAACCAAAGGTGGCCCAGGCCCTCATAGTGGCCTTTGCCTATTAAGCACTGTTAATTTGTCACCATCTCTCTACCGGAAGTCAAGACAGCACAGTGACAACCAGCCAACTCTACTGTTCCTATAGGCAACATTCCCTTTACCTTCCAGATGTTTGAGTCCCTGCACTGACAATGTTCCCTTCCACTGGAACACTTTCCTCAGGCACTGCTGGTGACATCTTCAGCAACTAGGCCACCCCTTGTGCCGGAGACTATCTGTACTTCCCACACCACTCAGAATGGGTCCTTCTTGCCAGCTGGACAGTGAGTGAGCCAGTCACCAAGCCTCATCCACCTGCCTGCCGTCTCAGACCAAGGCCATAGCAGCCACGTCAGTCAGGTCCTCCAGAGACAAACCCCAAGACACAATCAGAGGTGCAAGAAATGTACTGGGAATATCCATGCCGTTCAGCCAAAGGCCCTCAGAAACACACCTGTAGTTGAAGAACTGCGTTTATTACTCATTGCACAGAGGGAAAATGCTCATCACGGCAGGGCTTCTCAGAAAGGTGTTAGAACCTACTTGAGATTTTGGCATTGGGTGATTTGAGAGCCTAAGGAAGCAGGGAGTCACTCTAGTTACTGCAAGCTGTAAGTGGGGGCAATTCTGTGACTGAGTGTCTTAAATCTTACCTGTAGGGTGAGGGTAAAGCTGTAAGTGCTTAAAAAGTGGTAACTCATTTTAACTCAGGAGGATGCTTGGTGTTTGGGTGGCACAGTGACCTTGTTTTCCTGTTTAGACAAAGTTACGACGCCGTTTTGGCACTTTATCCTGGTCTCCGAGCAGCTTTGTCTGAGGTTGGTGCTCTGAGACTGCTTATTTCCGACAGGAGAGTAACATAGCCAAGCAGCACCAGGTCAGCGTCCGGATGGCAGCGCAACTTTCTCTCCCCGCTTCGCAGGGGAAACACCTGTGAAAGAGAAATGAGAGGAAGCCGAAGCCAGGAAGAGCCTTGGGACTAGGACGCAGGGCTGACAGTTGTGAAAGGAAGGTTTGGACAAAAGGACAGCCCTCAAGAGTCTTGGCCAGGCTGATGGGAGCTCCAGAGCACATTGCCCACCAGGCGAGTCCTGTGTCAGGCAGAATGGCCTGGTCCAGCACCCATACTATGCTTAGTCACAGCAGGAAGCGCATGGTCTTCATGGGACCACTGCAACGGGTCCCCGAAGGTGGGAGCCTTGGAAACTGCACTCCCTGCAATGGCTCCTCTGTGCCTCCAGAGGCCAGGACCACGCGGGAATGCCAGCATGTAGGGGGTGGGTAGAAGAGGAAACAGAAAACAGGAGGCATGTTAAAGAGGATGAGTTTGAGTAAAGCTGAAGTGTCCATTCGATTTGGCCACAGCAAAGTGGCTGGACACTGTCAAAGCACAGTTGTGGACACGTGGGAGGAACAGATGGCAGCCTGGAGAGGGAGGGAGAGAAGGGGAGGAGCTGGAGACTTGGTGAGGGGCAGGGAAGTGGCACAGCGCTCAAGAGTGGAGGGAACGGTGAGCACGGGTGATCAAGAGCTCCTGTGAGCAGCGGGAATGATCCAGTAGATGGACGATGCAGGGGCTAAGGGGTCCCGTCCTAGAGAAGGCAGCTGGCTGGGGGCCAGAGCACCTGGGGAAAGGCTGGTCATTCACAGGGCCAGCACCTCAGCAGATGGAACAGGAAGGAAAAAGGTGCCCTGAAGATGTGGGTGGGTTTATCACAGGAGTGAGAAGGAACTCCCAGCTGATGGCTTCTTATTTTCTCATCAAAGGAGGGTTTTCTATGATCAATCAGCAAGATGTCATTAAAAGGAAAAAGATATTTACAAAGACAAGATTGAAAAATTATTTATTTGCTGGAAACTTGAATAAAAAATGGCAATAACTGATACATATGTTAATTCCAAATATTTTCACTAAGCACCAAGTAGGACAGTTCCTGAACCTTTCACCAAGAACTTCTTTATTATTGAAAGATGCCTAAACCAGTTTATTAATCAGTTTATTTCAATTTTTAACGAAGAAACCCAAAGCTGCCAATCAGAGCTTCTAATCAGCACAAGATGGCCAGGTTAACAACCTTGAAGTCAAATAATGTGAGAAAAAACAATCTTAAAAGCTTTGTTTAACCCAAAGCTTTAATGCATGTTCATTGAGGGGATTCACTCACCTCAAGCTGTATACCACACATGCACAAACAAAAATGGGTAATACGTACCACTCTGTATAAAAGATCAGTAATACATGATCCCTATATTCAGAGGAAAACGATGCCTAATTCTCATGAGGGGCACAGAGACAGATACAAATTACTAACCCTCGAGGGAGCACCAAGCAAGGTTGGTAGGAGACAAGAACTCCTGTGTGTCCTGCGGTGGGGTGGAGAGTCTGCAGGAGGGCATTTGGGGGCTTCAGGGACCAGGTAGCATCCAGGCCAGATGGCACCATGAGTGGACGTCGATGGGAGTGGGGAGGGGCCTCCAAGCCTGGAGAAACAAAATGAGTCAAGACACCAAGGCCCAGAGGTACTGCCTGTTCAGAAGACAGTAGGGTGTTTGTTTAGGGTAAAGGGGTGTAACCTAGTCAGAGACTAAACAACCAAGAAAAGAGGGCCTTGTTCAGGGAGAGCCAGACAAGCACCAGTCTGTACTTCTCAGCAGCAGATCAATCAAGAATCGTATTGGGCTGTGTGACCAACGAGAGAATAAACCATCTTCCCAAACGCTGAGGCTCCACATGCCCTTTGTGGAGAGTAAGTCACTGAGGGTCACCCTGCAGGCCACTCCCCACCTGAGGCCCTGTCCCTTGGAATCAGTACATCCATTAGCAAGAACCTTACTTTATGGAAAATTCCTGCTCCAAAAAAGCAAAACACAAATCACACAAGCAAACAAAACTCAAAACAAGAGACTATCGCAGTGAGTCTGAATCCCCACACTTTACTTCTGCCCCAGTCATGCTACTGGGAACAGGGTCTGCTACTCAGACTGATTCATCACTGCAGAAGAAAACAAAATTTACATCACTGCTCCTACTGCAGCCCCCCAACCCCAAAAGTAAACATATATCACACAAAGTATAAACTCACCCCAAATAAAAGTCAACATCAACTTAAGGATCCCACTGTAATAATATTTCTACACTAAACTAGGACATAACAATCCTCTTTGACCTATTTACAAAATACCTCATTCTGAGAGCTCTGGAAGCATTACAGACATTGCTGCATTAGATTCCTCTTCTTGAGGTAGTTCAGAGTCTTGAAATGGCAAATTTACGTGCTATTACCTACCACCACTGGGGGTGATTAACAAAAAAGGCCTACAACCCAGATCCTCACCCTCTGATTCACAGATCAGAGCAGACAGGCTGTTTTTCCTCAAATTATATACACTAATCTTAAATTAGAAATACAGAGATTAAAAGTTACACAAAAATTTTAAAAATAAAAAGCAGGGGAAAAAAACTTTAAAAAGAATGTTAGTGGCATCACACTAACAGTTTAAACGTTGCTAAAAACGAACATATTTACTTGGTTTACCAAAGCGCTACACATTTTATAAAGTAATAAAAAAAATAAGAGCTTATAAAAATAGGGGGGAATATTTTAGGTGGGAGCATGCAACTAAGATCATCTTGTTTTCTGGCAGAGTTCTCCCAAAATGTCACGCCACCCAGAAGTGACACTTTCAGGCAGCTTCTACTCAGGTCTGCTTCATAGGCGCAGGGATGTTGGCAGACGCCTGCTCGAGGTAGGCCAAGGAGCCCTGAGGGATGTCAGCTGGCTTCTTGTGCTGCCCGTTGATGTCCTCCAGCACCTGCTGCCAGTGCCGCAGCTTGGTCAAGTGCTTCTGGACCAGAGCATCTTTCCGCTGCAATTCATTCCTCAGCTCTGAGACATCCTGCAAAGGAAGGTGACGTAGTCAGGGAAACCTCTTGTGAAAGCCGAATACAGTTCCACACTACACCCATTATTCTGCTTGGCTCTCCTATCTGAATAAACCAGAGCAGCTCTTCCAATGGCAGATGTCTGCCTAACACAGAGAGTTTTTATTTTTAATTCATTTTCTTTTAATAAGTAATACCCAAGTTATAATATCCCAAAGTATCAAAAAGCAGCCAAAAAGAAACCCTCTCTTTCCCATCCTGGTCCCCAAGCACTCAGTATTTCTGTCCAAAGGCTGAACCTAAAATACTGAGAATCTGAAACACATGGCTACAGCTGTTTAAAAGAATCCACAACCACTGTTCTATCATTTCAAATTACAAAGAGTCAAAATCTCAATTTCAAGAGCTTTTTTAAAGAAAACTAGCATTGTAATTCTTTATCAAGACCTGGCCTTGAACACACCTATGTTACTATTAAAGTATTCAAATCAGGAAATGATCTTCAAGAAACTATAAAAATCCTGGAAGAAAACATAGGCAGTAAAGTCACAGACATCCCACGTAGTGGAATTTTCACTGATACATCTCCTACGGCAAGAGAAACAAAAGAAAAAATAAACATATGGGACTACATCAAACTAAAAAGCCTCTGCACAGCAAAAGAAAACAGCCTTAAAATACAAAGGAACCCCACGGTCTGGGAAAGCATATTTGCCAAAGATGCATTTGATAAGGGGCTAGTTTCCAAAGTGTACAAAGAACTCATACTACTCAACAAGAGGAAGACAACCCAATTAAAAAATGGGCAAAGGACCTGAATAGACACTTCTCCAAAAAGGACAGACGGATGGCCAAGAGACACATGAGAAAATGCTCAACATCACTAATCATC